GAAAGTTTACACAGCAGAATGAGCCAATGTGAGGATAGAATTTCAGATATAGAAGATAGGATTGCAATTAGTGACCAGGAAAAGAAAAATTTCTTTAAAATTGTAAGGGACCATGAGAAATCAATCCAGCAGCTGGTAGACAATGCAAAGAAGAATAACAGATGACTGATTGGAGTCAATGAAGTTACAGGATAGAGTGTAGACAACGCAAAAAAACTGTTGACAGACGTAACGGCAGAAAACTTCCCAAGTAGGAAAAAAGAATTTGACATACAGGTAAGTGAGGCATACAGGACTCCAACTAGCCGTGATGAAAAAAAAATCTACACAAACATATAATAGTTAAGATTCCAGAAACCCAAGACAACGAACAAAATTCCACAAGGAGTTAGAGAAAAAGAAACAAATCACATACAAAGGAAAGCCCATCGGAATCACAGCAGACTTCTCAACACAAACCCTCAAGGCAAGGAGAGCTTGGAGTGACCTATTTCAAGCCCTATACAAAAAACAACCTCCAACCCAGATTGATGTACCCTGGAAAACTATCTTTCAAAATCAATGGAGAAATAAGATACTCTTATGACAAAGAGCACCTGAGGAACTTCATGAATACCAAATCACCACTCCAAAAAATTTTAACCAATATTCTAAGAAAAGACAAGGATCACAACCCCAGGTAGCCCAGCAGAATGAATCCATCAGGCATGACAAAAAATTAAATGCAAAGGGGGAGAATCCAACAAAAAGAAAAAGTCATGGCAAGGATAAGTCAATACATAGCAGTTATAACCATCAACATTAATGGTCTCAATTCACCAATCAAAAGAAATAGACTGGCAGAATGGGTCAAGAAGCACGATTCAACAATATGTTGCATACAAGAAACACACTTAATTCAAAATGAAACTCATAGGCTGAAAGTTAAAGGGTGGAAAACAATACTCCATGCAACAAGAACTCCCCAAAATAGCAGGAGTAGCTATCCTCTGCAGATCAAATGGATTTCAAACCAACACTGATTAAGAGAGACAAAGGACACTACATCCTTGTAAAGGGAACAATCCAAGTAGAGGAGATGACAATCATAAATATATATACACCAAACACTAGTGCACCCAACTATGTAAAATAAATACTAATGGACATGAAAAATCAAATAAGCACTAATATAAAAGTAGTGGGGGACCTCAATACTCCACTGTCACAAAGAGACAGATCAACTAGACAAAAAACAAAAAACAAAATACTAGAACTCAATCAAACTCTTGAGCAAATGAACTTAAACAGATGTTTACAGAGTGAGTGTTCTACCCCACAAAATCAGAATACACATTCTTTTCAGCTGCACACGGGTAATTCTCCAAAACAGACCACATACGTGCTCACAGAACATGTCTAAGTAAGTGCAAAGGAACTTAAGTTATCCCCTATATAATATCAGATCACAGTATGATCAAATTGGAGATCAATACCAAAAGAAACTACAAGAATTTCATAGACACATGGAAAGAGAACACACTTCTGAATAACCAATGGGTCACAGAGGAAGTTAAGAAAGAAATCAAACAGTTTCTACAATTAAATGACAATGTCAGTGCAACATATCAGAATCTATGGGACACAATGAAAGCAGTCTTACAAGGGAAAGTCAAAGCAATGAATACTCATATAAGGAAAACAGAGCAGGCTCAATTAAACAAACTCATGCTGCACCTCAAGCTTCTAGAAAAAGAAGAGCAGAACAAACCAAAAGCTCATACAAGGGAGGAAATTATAAAGAGCAGCGCAGAAATCAATGCAATGGAGACTAAGAGAATGATACAAAAAATTAATGAAGCCAAGAGTTGGTTCTTCGAAAGAATAAACAAAATTGACAAACCCTTAGCCAACCTTATCAAAAAAAGGAAAGAAAAGGAATGCAATTAGGAATGAAAAAAGT